GTGGCTCTGGCTTCTGATTGGTCAATAAAGCCTGTTCTGTTGAACCGGTCTTTTACCTATTAGGGCTCGGGTATTCTACAAGTGGCGTCGGATAAGGCGCGGACATGTTGGAACACCTGGCCGCAGCCAATCCTGTGTCTCTGCGTTCCAATGGCAAGGGAGGAAGATAGGCAGCCAACCAGAGAAGGACACGAATGAGGAGCAGAATATAATGAGCGGCGTGGCCAGCGTGGTGGACTCGGATGGAAGGCGCCTGACGTGTGGCGCTGGCTACTGATTGGTCAATAAAGCCTGTTCTGTTGTAGCGGTCTTTTTCCTATTAGGGCTCGGGTATTCTACAGTAGCGGAGTGACAGATAGCAGCCAAATTGGTGTTAATCCATTGGTCGAAGATGAGAAGCACGCCATGGTGGCGACGTCATGTGACCAGGTGTATCGTGGAGGCAGAAGGACGCCATCTTGGGATCCAGCCTTTGGTTGAGAGTCTTGTGAACGCTAAATTCGGAAACCTGACGTTGGAGACTGTCGTTGTACTTTCTGTCAATATACCCGTATAACTGTCCATTATCTCTCTTATCATGCCCGGGCGCGCTACACAAGTGTGCGACTTCCGGCTCTGTGGCGACACGCGGGCATTGAATGACGCGCCAATGACTGAGAGCCAGTCCGCTCACGAGTTTTTCGTCTCCATTGCAGCGACGTGAACAAAAAAAAGGGAAAACAGGACGACCAGGCCAAGGATGTATAAAGACCTTGTTTACCCCCTTACTCCCGACCAAATTGTGACTGGTTTTAGCCTTTATTAAACGACTCCATCTTTTCCTTGTTCTCTTCTTAACCATACCATGGGGCCGAAGCTACCAGACTGTGGCCGTTTCTGTCTCAATATTGTGTTTGTTTTGCCTCAGCCTTATCCTCATAATGGTCCCGAGGCTTATACATTGTGTGGCGACGTATAAGTGTGCTGACATTTTGGACCACACTGGCCTCAGCCAATCCTGTGTCCCTGCGTACCAATAGCACGCGAGGAAGATAAGCAGCAATCCAGAGAAGGAAACGAATGAAGTGCAGTATATAATGAGCGGCGTGGCCAGCGTGGTGGACTCAGATGGACGGTTCCTGAAGTGTTGTTCCGTCTTATGATTATTCAATAAGGCCTGTTCTGTTGTACAAGTCTTCTTCATACTAGGGCTCAGGTATTCTGCAACACGCGTGTAGTCCCGATCAGGGAGCAAACCACATTCTATACGTGGAGCTCACCCAATCGTTTGTTAAAAATCCTGGAAGATAAGCAGCCAACCAGATACGAGAGTGAATGAGATGCACTATAGCTAGTTTTTAGGCCTTGAAGCACGGAGCGTGACTAGGGGGTGTAAGGATTGAGTCTTGTCACTAAAGACTGTCCTGGTGAACATGACTTCTTCATAACAGAATATTCTTTCATTCATTTCGAAAAAAGCAAATAAACCAAACTTAAAGAACCAGCAATTGTCAAAGCTAATTAAAAATTGTATTTTTTATAAAATAACAATGAAGTATTTGGAATAAAAACTCCAAAATATTTTGGTGATATTCTCAGTGTTTTTGCTATTAAAACTAGTCATTGTATGCAATAATATTTTGTAGGCTAATGCAAGACAATGCGTTAGCAACGTTGATCAACCTTAGACCATATGTCACTTTTTATCTTACTTGGTTAACAGTACATGTGGGATTGAGTTAAACACTTCCCTGGACAGAAACTAATGCAATAAGAAAATTGCCTTATTGCATATATTAATTAAAATATAATAAAACGTTTTAACACGACATTACACGTTTACTAAAAATATGGATGCAAATTTTGAATCAATCGACGTTAGTTGGTATTTTTGTTCTTCCGGAGCGGCTAATTTAATTCGCATACTTCGCTTTCTCGTGATGAGTGTCGTCGATAGGCTTTGGCGGAAGGTTGAATCTAACTTAGCTGATTTCAATTCTTGGGTTGCCCTATTAGATGCTGCTGAAAAACAGGTATACTGTCTGTCCCTTCTATTAGTTTGCACCTTTAATTTCACTAAACGTCTTTTTTTCGTTCATAGCCCAACATCGATGTCACTCGGAAGGCATTTGATGCGTTCTTGGAGCACTTTCCGTATTGTTATGGATACTGGAAGAAGTATGCAAACGTGGAACGCCACGCTGGCAACAAGGACCGTTGTCTTGAGGTAGGTCCATCTTAAATTCTGTTTAATTGTTCCGAAGCCGGTTGCCATCACAGGCAATCCGCGACCCAAATCAAGTAAGCGTTCAAGAACCTTGATACCGGTTTTCATAGGTGACAGTTGGTTCCTGTTGAGTTACAGGTAATTACTCAGGGGCCACTTCATCATTTAAAGCGAAAATATTGATGTTAACCTGTGAGTTTGTTTCTGGTTGAAAAGTTACAGGTAGGCTTTTTTGACGCTCCTTTGTTTTTGTAGGTATACTCGATGGGCGTTTCTGCGATTCCGCTTAGCATTGACTTATGGACTGCTTACCTTGATGCCACTTTGGAAATCGTACATGGTCAGGACGACTATGAGCTGCGTATGCGAAAGTATGTTTTCTTCTTTGAAACATTCATATGTTGTTTGGGCTGCTTTTTGGCAGCTGAAGTTACATGGTTAATATGTGGATATTGTCATATGAGTTATTTTCTTAATCTATCATAATCTTGTGGAATTCATTTACCACTCGAATATTTTGGACATCAATAGAGATTTTATGTAAATTTAAAGAAATTATATGAGCGAATGCAGACAAAAAACCTTAAAACAGAAATCCGTAGTAAATACTCGAAATGCCCTTCATACAAAATGATTTTCACGCATTGCCCCAAGTTTCTTCGCAAACTTCTGGCTCTACTAATGCAATTCGATTTTTTCTTGACTTCCAATTTTTTTTGCTATCGTTCTACTACTACATTTAGTCATTGGATAATTAAGCTTTTAGAACGTTTTGTTTGCTTTTTAGCTTTAAAATGTAAGCGAAGCCTACGCGCCTAATTATTACTTGAATTTCTTCATGTGAGGTTCTGTTTTCCCTTAGCCATCTGTCTCGTTCCTCATGATATTGAAAAATGTATTGAAAATCATGGGATAACTCTAATGATATCTTTTTCTTAGTTCATCTTTAAACTATCTTGTCGCGACCTACGATGGTTAATGGGACTATTCGTATTTTATCTTTATTGCCCACAGGCCTTTCACTTCATCCATCCCCTTTAAAGCGTTATAGTGTAGGGTCAAACAGCATTCAGTTTCAGAAAGTTAAATTGTCAATATTTTTTCTAGAACCTGTAAGGTGCTTCCAAAGTTATGAAATAGCAGTATGTGTTTTTATTCTCTAGCCTACTTTAGATGTTAAAACCAGGCGAGCAGACACTTAGCCCGCAATTTTTTTCTATGTGGTTTTATATCTTTCTTTTTGCCGTATTAGTCTTTACGAAAAGGCTTTAGAGAAGGCTGGTCTTGAATTTCGTTCTGACGCGCTTTGGGAGCATTATATCAGTTGGGAGTCAGGCCATAATCGCCTAGGCCGCGTCCTTGCCATCTACGATAGGCTCCTTCATACACCAACCCAGCTTTATTTCCAAAATTGGGACAGCTTCAAAAAGCTTATTGAAGAGAATCGTCCTGAAGATTTCCTTCCACTCGGGGAGTTCGCTGAGCTGCTGGCCCGCGTTTCGCCCGTTGCTGGTACAGCTATGCGCATAGCTCTTAGTGACCCATCCGCGGCCTCTGTCCCCATACCTGAGGTATTTTTGAAACTCTTGTACCGGTGTTCTCGTGACTACACTACTGCTCATGTTTTGCCTCTAGATAACCGAAGCTGACAGGAATTCTATTCGAAAGTTGGTCATCGATCGTCGAGAAAAAGTCTACCAAGCAACTTATTTACAAATTATGAAACGATGGTACTTTGAGGAGAAGGTGTGTTCCCATACTTAAATTATGGTTGTTCGTATTTATAGTAATTTATTCAAAGATTTGCATTTACATTATTTATCCGTTTTATTGTTACCTCAATCGGATCACTTTCGTATTATGCTTTTATTTTTCGTTCCTGTTGTCGACATCAGCATTACTCAGTTATTTTTACGTACGTGTGATTAAACGTGGTTTCCCTGTAAATAACGACCAATCGCTACTTTATTCTTCTAATTTTTTTTTTCAAAAGGATGCTGTCCATAAATTTTAGTAAATTGATGTTAGCTTTTGCGAACGCTCTAAGCCTGCGTGGTTTCGTTTCGTTGTAATAGGGACTGTACCGCCGTTTACGAGAATACAAAACACCAGTGAAAATTCATTACTTGAAGCAATGCATAACTTTTTAGTGGTTTTACGACGAAATCCCATTAATTAGGTTAACGTTTCAATTTGTCTTCTCTGAGTAGATAAGCTTATCAGTAAGACTTACGGTTTGGACACCTACAACAACCTGGTGCTACTTCCTTTTGTCATTAGATTCGGCGCCCCTACTTCCACGTGAAACCGCTTGAGGAAGCGCAACTCAGCAATTGGGCTGAATATCTCAGTTTCGAAGAATCTGAGGCTGCAAGTGCTGAGGCTTTGTTAGCCGCACCGGTCACCGAGGACGCCCCTCCACAAGTCACCATGGAGGATGTTCAGCAAGCCAAAAAGCGTGTCCGTATACTATATGAGCGGTGTCTCGTTGCCTGCGCCCTCTATGAGCATATGTGGATTCGTTATGCAAAGTATCTTGAGGTGACTTGCATCATGATTATCGATGTCCTAGTGGTTTGTGGAAGCCCCAAATACGTTACTCTTATTAATGTGCAAAAAAATTCCTGCTGCTTTACAAATTCAAAGGACCAAGAAGTCATTGTTTTAGAATGTTTAGTTTTATAAATCGGGGCTGGAAAAAAAGCTTTGTTTACTTTGATACCGTCGTTGGTTGAAATTATCTCAAGGTATTTATACCTAAAGTATATAACTTTTGGCGTTGGCTTGATATTACCCTACCAAGACTAATGCTGTAACAAATCGTAAGTTTTACTTTTTCCCTTTCACATTACGATCCAATTGTGCACTCGGCTTGTGTATTGTTCATGTCACTAATTATAGTTTGCGAAAAATTATTTCCGTATTATCGTCAATGCGATTACTGAATAGATAAATTTCTTTAAGGTTAAATCTATTTACTTGTATTTCCTTGAGTGTGTCGGTCGTATTGGGACACCTTTTTTACCTCTTTCTACATTCTTCATCCGGTTCGACTAATTTGGCATTAGCATCTCCACTCATCTCAAATCTTTAATCCAATGGGTTTTTTTGTTTTTAGTACACAGAACAGGACTTCTGTGCTGCTCGAGATGTTTGGCGTCGTGCGTGTACCGTTCACCTGCGGTCTAAACCGACCATCCATTGGCACTGGGCGCTCTTTGAGGTGCGCCATCCAGCTGTTCTGGACAACTCCGAACCGAAGTCCCCGCTTGAAATCCTATCAAGTCTCGAGGAACGTCTGCCTGACAGTGCTTTGACTTGTGCTCGGCATGTTGATGCCATGAGAAGAGCCGGAAAACCGGTAAATCATAGTTTTTTTCATTGGTTCATCTGGATGTGGCAATAGTATTTTGACTTGCCTCATCATCGGGGCAACACTAACATACATTTTCCGTCCAGTAGCGGAGACTGAAATCATGCAAAGGTAACCGAGAGCCGATGTACCTGCAAAAAGCATGTTCCCAGAATCGTATTCAATTATATTATTTTGCCTGTTTTAAATCATCAGTGGTGGCGCCAAGAGTGGTTGGTGGTAGTGATTCTGTGTTTATTTTATTCTTGGTGGTTATTACTCCCTTGAACGTTCATCCATCAGATAATTCTAATTTGTGCCTCCAGCTTCTCGATTTAATTGTCTGTCTGCGCTCGGGCATAAATCGTCTGCGTCTGCGTGCGACAGAGCAGGCCAGCATCGCGCACAACGCCTCCGGTCCCACGGGTTCCCTTTCGGCAGCAATCGCTCTTGCCACCAGTGTGCAGGCTCGTGCAGGGGCTAGTTATTTAGCCGGAAAGATGGCTCGTTTGCTTCACCGCAATGTCGACGGAATGATTCCTGCATCGGGTATTCCTACTTGGCAGCTTCTTCTTAACTCGGCCTACAAACCCACTCCGGTGGCGTCAGTTAAAGAGGAGGGACGTGAACATGGAGATCAACCGAATCCGCAATTTGTCGAAGATGAAAAAAATGAAGTGGTAAATTTGTCCCCATTAGTTTTTTCTCCCATTTTCAATTAAACCTCTCAGCCTCTTCAGTACCTTTTCAAGTTGCCATAATTTGTGCGCATTTTTTGTTAGTGGGTTCGATTCAAAAAAGGCCCAGTTAAGCTGTGACGACCTGGTCAACTCTTTTGTGTTACAGTTCTGCGAAAGCCAATCATCGCCTGGAAATGAGAAGGAATTGGATGCTTCAAAAGCACTTAAGGCAGAAGAAATGGATGTGGAACATGAGAAGAATGACGATATACTCGAGGAAGAACAAGCTGAGGTTGTACCTGAGTCAATCATTGTCGCCGATGAGAGTAAAGAAGACAAAGATATGGACATTGGCGCTGACTCGCCACCAGTTGTCATCGTTCGGAAGAAAACGGGTTCAACTAACTCGAATGCCATCGAGGTTCCCGTGAAGGTGAGTTAGGTTCTGTTTTTGAGTCTTCAACGGTATTTTCTGCTCCTAAAATATCCGTGAATCCAAAGATTGATTTTTAGTGCGCCCTGTTCATTGTATTGCTCTAATACACACTGCCATAGATAACTGAGCACACCACAATTTCGCTAATTTTTTTTGTTTTTATTCATCGTCCATTTAATAAACATGTAAGATTACCTCAGTTATAAAGATAGTTTCTTGATCCAACGCGCTGTAATTGCCTTGATAAACAGCAGTATTGAAGAGTGCTAGAGAAGGGTAGTGGCAATAGAATACGTGCAGATTCAACCCACTTTCACTCCAGGCATTGCTTAGTCTGATCTTTGGCTATCCAGCAAAATAGTAGGTTTTCGTGCCGTTTTCAAGTGGATTCAGATTGGATTAGAGTGACCAAGGTAATTTATCTGCGTCTTTCTCTTGCATGTTAACTTGCAACTACACTTAAAACAACGCCTGTCTTTACAAAACACCTTTTTAAGCCGACGGAAAGTGATAAAGCGACTGAGAATAATAATAAGGTGGAGGAGGACGAGGAACCCGGGCCCCCAGCGCCAAAACGAAAGCGTCGGTCTCGGTGGGGTGACGTCGAGGGCGAGACGGACACGGATTTGATGAAGATGCGAGCTGCCGAGGAGGAGCGCCTAGCCCGAGCCGACCGGGAGCAGAAGGCGTATGCCGTGGAGCGCGCTGCCATCACCAATGTCGCCCCTCCCGAGGACCCCTCCACTCTGCACGCGACAGAACACGTGTTGCTCTCCCCCGAGCAGGCGGCCATTACGGTCCTGAAGGAGGCCATTGAGTTCGATCCGGTAAGTCGGTTATCATCGTCTTGTCTTGTTTGCGTGAAACACGTCTGGTCGAAATTGCAATTAGTCTTCCTTGGAACGAAAGTCATTTTTCCCTACTTGTGCGTGCTAGTCCGCGGTAATCTGTGCGGCTTAACACTTCCCAGAACTAATGGCTGGTGAGTAGCGCATCCTTAATGCATTATATCTCCCACCCGTAGCGCAATGAACGTCTATACTCGCAACTATTAGACATTGCCTACCAACGCCGTCCGCTAGATGAAACCGGCTTCCTTGAATTCGCTGACCTGGCAATTGTTGATTCAATTCTTCCGGCAACAGTGAAACTTGCCTTCTCTCAGCGAAAACTGCAGTTTCTTGAAGAGTTCTGTAACGACGTTAACAAGTGGGTCACTTCTCTTGACGTTTCAAAATTTTGTCACGAAGTAATCACTATCATGTAGGGTACATAGAATAAATGGATTATCAAATGAATCTATTTAGTTTCAATGTCGGTGCTTTTGGAGAAGCTCTTTGTAACCTAAACGACTTTATTTTTTATGCATCTGTAAATAACACTATCATAAGTAATGGTGGATATCCGCGCTGGAATCGCAGAAGAGTAAAAACAGCCCGCCGCGGTAGCGTTATCCACTGTTGGGATTTTGAATAGTGTTTCAACAAAACCAGTATAGTGAAACAAATGGTTAAACGGAAATGTAACCAATGTTGCAACTGCCATTTTCTGATGTTTTCTAATTTCAATGAACGTGTTACGATAGAGTAATTGTCTGTACACTTGAGGAAGAAGGCTTTAGTATAAACTGGGTAATTATTTGTTAGACTTGTTTTTTGGGAGACCAATTATTGCTACAACTATTGATGACACCGATATTATATTAAAATGCTTTCATGAGCCAACAGCGAGGAACCACACGTCATAGGCAAACGTACGTTTCTGGAAAACCGACTTTACCTCTTGCAGAATCTCTGCCGCATTTGATGAGTACATTCAATTGGCTCAACTGGTGGTCCAGTGCACTACTGCGGACAAGAAAGTGGGCTTAGCCGGCGGTGTTGACGCACCTCAGGCGTACAATACTCCTGATCTTCTCAACGTCGTTCTGCCTGTGCCCCTACGTCCTTCGGCCCACCGAAACCCTGTACCCAATGGTCCGGTTCGTCGAATTCCACAAGTTGATATTAGCGCTGCCATTTTGGAAGATGCGTCATCGGTGGGCACGCCTGTCCCACAGCCAGAAACGGCGGCTTCGCTTTTCACTGCGGGAGCTTACGAACCTTTTGCGGGACCTTCAGCTGGTGGATTGCCGCCTCCTGCGCCAACTATGGTCCCTGTGGCCGCGGCAGGACTCGCTGGGGTACAGATATTCTTGTCAGAGTCTCATTTGACGGCCTCCAGATACTTCATATGTCTACCAATTTAGCCATCTAGTACAAGGCACCAATATTTTTCGTGATTATTGAATGTTTGAAGTTAGGTATGAAGCCCACACAATCTTGAGCGATGTAATCTACTGCATTCCACTCCACGTGTCCTATGTATTATTTTCTCGAACGAGAAATCTTCAAGAAAAGCACAGGATTGTGCTGCGTACGTGTAGCTTTTTTATAAACATGAGGAACTTTACTGCTATGTGAGAGCGTAAATAGCGCGTACTTTTATCTAGCCGGACTCGGTCGAGCTTTGGCGCGGAATGGACCCGACGGCGTACGCGGCGGCGGTTTCATCGACGTACGCTAGTGGAGGCGGCACCTTCTATGCGCCCTTGAATGCAGGTGCAGACGCGGCGTCCAGTGTTCAGGCGCCGCCACCAGCCCTCATGTCCAAGGAGAGTGCCTAGCATGGCTAGAGCTCCATTCTTGGAGCGTCGACTTTTTATGCAGCACTGCAGATGCACCTGTTTATTGTAATAAAATTTATATACTTCTTGTTCGCATTTTGTTTTGACAATTGTGACGTGATTGGTTTCGCCGGCAGCCCTCTGCTAAAGTACCTCAATTTCACGTATTTATGAACGTACTTTATCATTTCCAAACAAAGCTAGAGCACTTTTCTGCGCTTGTTATACGCGGCAAATCAGCCCTTATTTGGATAGGTTCATCAGAAGTTAATGTTATAATTCAACTTCAAGCCATCTCACGCAATGATATAGAACACTCAATTGAGATCGGGTCTCAATATTAAGATCGCTTGGCTATGCGTCATTTGTGGATAGCACGTTGTCTTTAGGTATTACCCAATGTGGTGTTACTGTGCAAAGGTATGTATCTACAGTGAGTTCCAAAATGTGAATGGAACACACACTGGGCCCACGTCTCAGTTCCTTCTAGTTCATTGCCATTGGTGGTAGTGCTAATGATAAGTTTCGGAAATCCCGAAAACCCTTTTTGATCAAAATAAGTGAAGATTTGTTGTTGTACAACGCGTCAAAACAAACACGAGGTGGGACAATCAGTTAGGTGAGTATCTAAGGGGCGGATGGTTAGTGTCAAACTGCTCTTCAGGGATGGACACTCCATCTTTAGTTGACTATCTGAGATTGCACATAATTTGGAATTTGGAGAACGTGGTGTATTCTCAAACTACTGGTTAAGGGATTAGGGCCATCGAAAATGGCTAGTAGATGGACGTTGGGTTTTCAGACGTGACTTGAGGTAAGGCGATACAGAAGGCGGGATCGCAGAATGAAAAAGAGGAAGAAACGGAAATCGAAATAGCATGTGTTGTCCCTTGTGGTGCGCGTCACAATTCTAACGTGTCCACTTATCTGGGTCCCAGATTGAGAGGTTATAATCAGTCTGCCGAGTAGGGGTATCCACACGATCAGCGTTGACTACCACACACAACTGGAAAGGATCAGTAAATTTGATCGTGTATATGCTAGAGTGCCTGTTACAAAGGCAAAGAGCCATGAGCATGTGGATACGATGGTTGTGGGATGGATTAGGTTTGATTAACTGGTCCAGTGACGCGGCTTGAAGCGAGAGGATGTGGAATAAGAAGGGGGAATAGGGGGAAATTGTCATCCGTGAAATTTAACCAAATAATTAATTTTAAGATGTGCCGAAATACAACTTCCCTCCTTCGAGCAATGCATTATAGAATGCTCACATTTCAGACGTACTTAACCATAGTTAAATCACTCGGCTTGAATTGGGCGATGTTTCCAACTGTTTACAATGTCGAAATCCAGTCTTATACACAGGAATTCCAGGGGAGATAACTTAATGTTACATTTAAATTAAGTTAAAAATTTAAAAATGAATTAGTTGTTTCACATGTAAATAAATTGTAATCAAACAATGATAAATTCTTAATCGACAATAGGTAAATGTAAGACGCATGCGGACAGTAACAGAAATGTACAAATTTACGGATTTGCAATACATTAATGTATAAAATATATGGATTTAAAACTTCTTGGAAGAAAATGCAGTTAAACACGACTAATCACGAAAAGAAAAAAGTGCACATGTTTTACAGCCTCGATTAATTAACTGATAGCTTAGTATGGTTTCACTAATCGATATTTTTTTTAATTTTGAATTTAACGTCTTGTCAATAAAAAAAGTATGGAACAGTACATAGATACATTGTATGGTAGTTCAGTATGTTTGAAAGTGCTCACTGAGGCTCCAAGCACAAACTCATCACAGGGACGGACTTTTGAAAAAGTAAATCCATACGGAAACAAATGTTAATTTAAAAATTACCTTGATTCTTCGCAGGGGTATGCATATAAATCTGCTGGTAATTGTAATCAGCTGTCCAATGGAGTTGCCAAAAAAAAATAACGAATGCCAGACTCTTTCATTTTTGTCTGATACACATCAATTAGGGTTATAAAAATCGATATCAAATTCAGAACGATTTCATCGGCAATTTTTTATTTTTAAAAGCTATCACTGGTCTGAATTTAGGGTGAAACCCCTTGCACAGATATATTATGGCCATGATCCATGTGCTTCAAGGGTATTGAGGCCAAAATTTTCGCCTTTAAATAGGCGGGAATCATAACGCATTTTTCATTCCAGCATGTTTCATATATTTACACCTGTTTTCCTGATCACTAACAGCACGCGACATTGTTAAATTATTCCTTTTTAAATCGGCTTTCAATGCTTTTAATTATTTACAGAGGTTTATTTAATTAATTAGCAAATGGACCACCTATTAAATGCATTAACTCGAATTTAACACATGGTCTCTTATCCTACCTTCATTCATGGAATCCACCTGCTAAAATGTATACCTTGCTTAAACGAATATCAAATATAAAATTCATTGTAGAATGTTTTCTTAATTTGGTAAAATTAACCTGAATGAAGTAAAAAATGATGACCTCATTTCGAAAATCGGCAGCGCGCTTTATGATTATCAGTGACCTTTCATGAGGAGGTTTGTCGTCCTTGCTTGTTTGACGTGTCTTCACCTAAAATGAGGGTATCTTTTAGCGCCATTTGTATGTATCTGTTTTCATTTGTCACTATTCTTGTGGATGCTTTTCCAAAACAACTTACTTTTGAGCTTTCTGGTACGGAGCCATTCTGCTTTTATGAAAAACTGGAAAAGAACGAAGAATATACCTTCATGTTTCAAGTATTAAAGGGCGCATCGAGTGATATTGATGTTGTCGTAAGTGATATCAACAAAAATGTAGTCGCTAAGCAAAGTGAAAGTTCTCATGAAACCCTCTTTTTTTCCGCTCGCACTGATGGTGACTATTCTTTCTGCTTCAACAACCATTTCTCCCCCATGTCACCCAAGCGAGTATTTTTTGAATTAAGAAGCAAGGAAAGCTTAAGAGAGGAAGCGGGTTTGCAGGATTCTGGCCCTAGTACTATGATTGAAACTTTGGCAGAAACAATCCACGAACACCTTTCTGTCTCAGAGGGTTACCAGACCGAGTTGCGTGCCAAACTAACAGCGGATCGACTGTTTGCTCATGAATTACTGCATCATATTACCGTTTGGAGTACTGCAGTCGCCATTATCATCGTCGTTACCGTCGTAGCCCAGATATCAATTCTGAAAAGTTTCTTCAAAAACAAGCAACATCTGTACTCCTCTTACAACTCTAATTTCTAATTGTCTGTGTACATGCCAGGACCGGTTTTTGACCTGTATTGGTTAGCTTTATATATTTGTCCTCGTTTCTTCCAATAAGATCTGAAGGAATATTAAAGAGGTACTTTATTTGGTCCTTGATGTTGGTATAAACAGTTAACTTGTCTTTTTCAAGATTCGAATGCATACTTAACATCTAAGCTTCTTCAATGCCACTAAAATGTTTTTGTGAGGTTTTGTTCAGTTTTCTTCTCTTTAATATCAAGCAGTAGTGAATTTCTAGAATTCCAATCTATGACTTTTCCATAATTCATTGTTCTTTTTCGACCTAAGTAGCCGGTATCAGTCAGTCAATAACTCGGGTGCATGATGCGTAGATCAAAGAGGCTAGAACAATTGTTTCCCAAATCGCTGACTTCAGTTTTATGCGTCCTGTCGGTGCGTACATGATAAACAATGCTTATAGGTAGCTGGCGTGAACACATCTGTTAGTGGCTTTAGTGCGCAGAGTTCGGGTGAACTAGTAACTGGGCAAAGTGATTTTTGTTAGAACACTTGTAATGTGGCCTTATCTTGTAGAATTCAAGGAGGTTGTTACGCGCATCGTTTGTTTTAATGCAGAAAGAGACATTAGCTAGAAAGTTTAACTACGCTATCTACGTAGCTTTTCCTCTAGTGTTTCTTACAGTCGATTTCTTGGGAAACGGATCTTTTCCTCTTGTTGTAAAAGGAGACTGCCACCACAGACCACTTGATTAGCTACGTTTGGATTTTGCGCCCATAGCAACAAAAGGTGCAGTGTATCCTGCCGCCTAAACAGCGTTAACTGTCGCAGATTATCTCACTATTGTCATCTTCGGCTAACCTGAGGTTTCTCAGGTGTAATGATCGGTGGGAATCTAGCGGTTCGTTTTATCTGAAGATTATTCCACTAATCTCATCTCTGGACCCTGATTGTTTAAAGAAGATCAGCGCTATTGAGACATCATTGGCGAAGTTGTGCACTGACCACGGGGTTTCCTTGGATAAAAACCTGATATCCGATACTTGACATAAGCCCCATTTGTCGGCTAAATCATGAAACAGTCCAAGAAAAAGTAGCACAAAACATTTGCATCGATTGTGCATAACCTCTCAGTACA